TATACATATAAAATAAAATAAACTGCTTGTGTTGTCCAGTGAGAGTTTACTGTGTTTACTGTGTTAAATAGGGATAAAAATGTTCCATGTATTTTGAATTATAAGGAGAGTGCCTTGAGGCATTGGTTAACGTTATTCAAAAACAGACCAGCAAAATCTGGACATCTCAGTTAACGTTATTCAAAAACAGACCAGCAAAATCTGGACATCTCATTTCTTTAGACATCTGTGTTCATTGTGTTGTAAACAAGAAAATACTGCTTATTTTGTTTTAGGCATAATTTGTAAGTCAGATTTCATCGTTGTTATATACAGCTAAAAAACTGATATTTTACTAGAAAGCCTCCGTTTTCACTTATTTTTATTTTTGTTATAACGCAAATGTAATTTTTATGGGTTTACAAAACCTTAAAGTTTACTTTAATTTGGTTTCTGTTACAAGGTGAAAAATGCAATTTTAGTGTATCAGTTGTTGAATTAAATTTTAAGTTTTCTGAAACCTTGTATCATTTCTGTATGTATTCAGTTTCGTATTATCGTGTTTCCTTGAAGCCTTATCAAACTTAATAGGTTCATGATATCATTGCTGTTTCAATACTACTAGTTAAGCAGTCCACTATTACATTCCGAGTATTACTAGCTCTAGACATAGCTGTCGAGTACAGCAAGAATAGATAGTAAATTCTGAACTTTGTATAAACATTTTTGTAATATATTCTCGCGTATTTGTGTACTTAAGTACGTAATCTTTGAATTACAAAAACATAAACTTGACCAAAACATTCTATTCGACAAGATATAAGCTATTCAGTAGTTTACACATATATTCAATATTAAATGATCGAAAATATCTAGTTAATTGATATAAAATTAAGATTTTGCATGTGGTTGTAATAATTATAGTTGTATTAGTCCTGGTTTATTTTTTACCACCTTATGAATATCTCCAACACTTAACACCCAACGATTGAAGTGAAGACGGACCTATGCTCTCCTATAGTTAATCCTTAGAAAGGCTTAGGTCGAATCACCCAATCTCCCAAGTTCTCCTATAGTTAAGTTTCTGTCAGAAATATTAAGCTTGACGTCACATACACTTCTAAATTCTCCTACAGTTAATCCCCAGAAAAATGTAATTCGAATTCGCTCGTTTAATTACTTAACTTCTATAGTTAAGATAAAATTGTTACCTCACTCACTGATATAAATCCTCCAGATGGCGATTATTTTAAGCCTTTTTAAACTGGACCATGATGTACATTTTTTTCAGGTTATTAAAGTTAACTCTGTCCTATTGAAAATGAAAATCACCAGTTTTAAGAACCTTTGCGCATAATACGTTATCCATTATTCCATTTTATGCTGCGGCCAGTCTTTTTATCTTTTCCAATTTTTATTTTTACTGTCTGACAGTCGTGATCGAACATTCACAGTTCAAAACCCAAACATCAATCCATAATGTAAGCATCAAATCTTTATTAAGTTTAACATTAATGCATACATACACTCTTCTAATGTATTCTAAAAATGTGTACAAACTTACTTTTTATTATTATGATATACATAATTAGAAACGTATTTAGACGCTGAGTGAGTTGAATTAATTAAATTAGACTTAAAGTGCTGATTTTAAACAGGTATAATATACCACTTTTCGAATTTGTCAGTACAAATGCTACTAGTGTTACGTTATCTTAACCCACATCCTATGTTGTTGCAAATGCTACTCATATCATTAAATGGATAAATAGCGGTTTTCTGCAATTTTTGTAAATGTTACGAATGCAGCATTAACTTGATAAATATGTGTTTCATGAACAATTTCAAATGCCTTTGAACATAACACGAGCTTGATAGACAGGTGGCTAATTAATAATATCGATTACTTATATTACTGTACATTTTGCTTCTCGTCTCGTCAGAACGCAACTTGTAATTATTTGTGTGACAGAAGGCTTGAATCTTGTTTCTCGTCTCGTCAGAACGCAACCTGTAGTTACTTGTGTGACAGAAGGCTTGAATCTTGTTTCTCGTCTCGTCAGAACGCAACTTGTAGTTACTTGTGTGACAGAAGGATTGAATCTTGTTTCTCGTCTCGTCAGAACGCAACCTGTAGTTACTTGTGTGACAGAAGGCTTGAATCTTGTTTCTCGTCTCGTCAGAACGCAACTTGTAGTTACTTGTGTGACAGAAGGCTTGTATTTTGCTTCATATCTTACCAGAATGCAACTGATTAACTAAATGTATTCTTTCTTGAAAGCATTAATTAAGAACTTAGAAGCAATCAATAAAGATATAAATGTTAAACCTATGAATGGATCGTACCGTAGAACTTCATACTTGTTGCCCGTTTAATGTTTCATAGTTTCGAAGTTCGTGTCCTCAATTGCCGTTTAATCTTAAATATTCCATTCCAGTAAACCTAAGCAGCACGGCACTGGGATATAAGGGTGCAGGTTTTGTCTGCTGAGGATGACATTGGACACGTACCATTTTACACTGAAGTATATATGCAGGGGCTGACTGTGACTCCAGGAAGTGTGGATGAGCCACGGTCAAGGTCGTCTGGAACACGTCTTTATGCTTTGCTTCCTTATTGGCCCTTTACCCTTTGTGCCTGTACTGTGCATAGGAGCCACGTGCCAGATTTAAGAATTTTAGTGTATTTTATCACGTGCCATTTTATTATGTGACAGTAACTCTTAAACTCTATAAATTACAGTAACGTGATTAATTACTTAGGTCAGATTGGAAAGATAATATGTTCTACATAATACCTTCGGTACCATTCCCAACCTTGCATAATCACTTAATATACTCAAGGATTAACTTATTAGTTTTCCTTCAAAATAAACTAAAATAACATCTCCCTGTATAACCACAGGTTTGGCATAGTATAAACCCAATCAAAATAGTCTAAACATATGTCATACAAGGACGACATAGAAAAGGGATTTTGCACGAATAAATAGGGTGACAATAGATTTTATCAATATAGTTAGGACCGACCGTTTACCGAAAACCGATATAACATTTACTTATGCATTTGTAGAAGTCAGTATTGATCTTAAGACCCTAAAATTTATTATTTGTATCTTCATATTCTGTCAAAGAAATTGATAAGATACGGTTAATAATAACACATAGCTCAACAGTCGGATAATAGCGGCAACTAGCGTGCAATCTTGCGTTTATTTTCTCCT